TTTATACTTTAAATTAAATAGTCGGATGGACATGTAAGTCCTGCATCATCTGTTTTTAATAATAGAAAAAAAAATACCTGCCATTGCGAGCTATTAGATTTTTTTATGTTATCCGATAAATCTTATTTTTTTTCTATAAACGTGTCAGTTATTTGTCAATAACAAAATAAGCTTAATAAAAGTTTGTCAACGAAAAATATATATGAACAAAATAAGATGAATTACATTTAAAAAAAAAAGAAACAAGAGCATTACACTATACGGGAAAAGAATGTACAAAAGAAACGAATCTCCATCATTAAACTATATTTATTGTTTATAAATAATTAACAATTACACAAATCATATTATAAATACAAAATAGGAGAAGCTCAAAGCTTTTATGTGTTATATGTACAACAACCCTCCACGGGTTGTTTATGTCCTGTACATAAGGCAAACAACAGAATAAGAACAATTAACAATTATATATTATTCTCCACTGCTTTACATATCACATTTAAATCTTCCACCATTTCTGAACAATGATTTTTCATTTTTTCTTTTACGACAACGGCCTTTTATTTAAAACAACTTGATATCATATTGGCCAATATTATATAGTACTAGAGTTTAGCTGGTCAAAAATGACAGTATAAGTACTACATCCCCCACCCCATATTATACCCTAACCTCACATTTCATAGCTAACTGAAATAAATAAATTTTGCGAAATCAAGCTTGACCAACAAAGAGACGAAAAAATGCAGTCGAGGCAGTCAAACGTCGGTAAATTCCTTTGTGAGCCAATCAAAATTAAGATCGTTCATGAAATGAATTCGTGGCGTATTCATAGAATAATTATTGTTCAAAATCAGTTAGATTAACAACTTCAAATGTATAGAAAAACTAAGATTTGGTAACACTACGTTCCAACAATGGCTTTTATGGCATGTTGCTCAGCGATAAAGGTATAGCCTAATATTGTTGTTAGTCTATGTATTGAAAGTACAAACGGAACACCCCTCACGGCCCCTTGTAATGGGCAGACAGTAATCAGACTATTCTATCTGGTTAAATGCATTTTGGCTTTTATGATTCCCACTACTTCGAGAAATCAAGCGTGACGTAACACATTCGCTTTTTTCTATATATAGGTGATACGACTGACAATAAATATCAGTCAAGTATCGTAATTTGTACTTGAAAGCAAATAACAACTATTTCAGTTAGAAAGAAATTTTCATCCAAATTTGTTATTTTTGAATATAAGAATATATAAATGTTGCACGTAGTAAATTATGTTGACTTTCGAGACTTTTTGCACTGTTACCCAAAATCGCATTTCAGAAATATATCACTTTTCCCGATGTGCAAGCTTCGTTTGAAATATGCTGCTATTTCAAGCTATAAAAAATCTTTATGTTTTGTTAAACTTTTGTCACAGCTGTATTAGCTTTGCGTTAAGACACAATAGTTACATCTTAATTTCTTTTATCTTTTACTCTCTTATACTAAATGGTACAATGTACCTAACTAAATTACTTTTTTACATAACATTAAATTCTACTACTTTTTTTAAATTTTAGGTATAATAATTTGAAAGACAACATATAAAAGAATATTTAGTGTTCGGGTGATCAGAAATTTGTATACTTCCGAAAATTTGTCGCTGTCTATTGCAATATCATGAGTGTATAATAATGTGTTATCCATTGAAAGATCAGTCGATAGAAAGATCACTTCAACAATTATAGAAAGAGTACAGAATTATTCTTCAAGATTCTCTGGTGTTTCCGCAGATGTAGATGCAAGTGCTGGGGCGGTGTATATGGATGTGTAACGTGGTACATTGCCTTGGATAGGTATTTCCTTCGCGGCCGAACCGTAGGTTGGGTGAAAATAATTTGGAGAAGTCTGGTAGTCATGAAGTGGAAGTCTTACCTCCTTATGTACGTTGTGTTCTTCTTCCGGTCTTTTCTCATGTTCACTGATTATTTTGACATCAGCAGGGTTCTGGTTAGTTGTGCCAGGCTCGTTGGTTTTAACAGTTGCACGAAAACCACCGGCATCAGCAACATACTCCACTAGCCGGTACAAACCAGAAGCATCGGTGTAACCATAGGATCCTTTGACATTGCCTTTCCCTTCTGATTCTTCCTTGCGGAACTGGACATTACCATACTCGTCCTTAATTCTATAACCGTAACTATATATCTGAATTAAGCCCTGTAATTAGAATATAATTATATTTCATAAGTAGGAAGTGTTTGATTCAAAAATAAATAAAAACTTTGACTTTGCATCCAGCGACAAATAAAACTTAATAGACAATCCGTTTGAATGAGTATCAGCTTTGACTTTAATCCAGCTAAACAAAGTAATAAATAACAGTGACTGCAAGTAATTAAATCTAGATCATCCAAAACAACATGGCCATAGATTTTGCTATAAGTAACTAACCAATCTAAATCTAAGATGACACGACAAAATACAGAAATATTAAAAATAAGGCTTCATGCCTTAAAGATACACATGAAACAAATTATCGTGAGTGTTTTAAGCCTTAAACTTAAGCTACTTACGTGAGTTTCAAGAGGTCTGATTGGACGAACATGTTCTCTGCTAGTAAATTGACCATAGCTTTTGTATTCTGCAGGTAAGGCAGTTATAGAAACCGTGCTCATTAAAACAAAAACAACTACCTGTAATAAAAAGTAAAACAGTTTCTTTTCAGTAAGTTTTACTTAATTTTAGCAGATGTTTTTAAGTTTATGTTTGTTGTGAGACTGATATTACAATAACGGAATATAATTTATTTGTTTGTTACTAAGCGTAAAGCTATATAATGGACTATCTATGCTCTGCCCACCACGAGTATCGAATACGATTTTCTAGTATATAAGCGTACAGACTTACCACTGATCCACCGGGGGGCTATTGAGTAGAAAATTGTATGCGAACAATAAGCTTCTACATAGCTATAACTAAAAAACAATCAAATATTAATTAATGACAAGCTGAATGATACTTTGGACTCATAGGGCCAGCTAAAAATACTAAATCATGTTGATAATTTTTGGATTATTACAACACGGTTTTATTAAATTACAAGTCATCATAACCACTTTTGGTTTCAAAACTGCTTACGGTGCACATGAAATAAGTAGTGTTGAATTGCTGAATCAGAGTTAGGAGATTTTGAGAAGACTTTCATAAACAACAATTATGTGTCAAAGGTATTCAAACGACCACAACAACCATTAAAAAATGACCTCGTTCAGACTTCAAGATCAATATTGCATTTATTCAACGTTTCGCTTTACAGCTTTTTTGAGAACGCCCCATAAATTCTTAAACATGACCGACAGTTAGAAAAGTTCACAACTTACACCTTTGGCTTTTCTTCTATAACTCTCAGTGTTAAATTTGCTATGATTTTTGTAATTTGCCATCTTGAAGTGTATAACGAGATGAAAATGTTTTAAATAAAACATAAATTTGAAATAAACTGTATATTTATTTGTATTTAAATGCAAAACTACACAATGAGATATTTATGTTGAGCTCACCATTTGTATCGAACCACAATTTTTTAGCTTTATGAATCCTCAAGCTTACTGCTGAGCCACCGGGGGCCAAGTTAAAATGACGTAGGAAAGGCACTACTCTAAAAACAAAACTTTTAGTGTACAGACAAATTAAAATAATGTGATGAAAATATAATGTTTCTATGTTATGGTCATGTTTAGAAAAATAAAAGGCTAGGTATGGGTTGGTTGTCAGGGCACTCGACTCGATATCTGCGGGTAGCGGGTTTGAATCCCGTAACCGAACATGCTCTCAATTTCAGTTGTGGGGTATTATACTGTTATGGTCAATCCCACTATTCATTAGTAAAGAGTAGTCCATAAGATGCCTCAAAAGTAAGGATGACTAGCGCAGATAGCTGTTGTTGTTGTTTGTAATTAAGCACAAAGCTACACGATGGGCTATCTGTGCTCTACCAGCCACGTAGTAAGTCCGCAGACATACCGCTGTTCCACTGGGGAGGGGGGCAAATAAATATTCGACAAAAAAACAATATACAAAAAATCACAGGAGTTCTTGTAATATAGATGAACTAGTTCAATATATATTTTAAATCATTTAACAACACTTTAAACACTAGTGGACCTGCAGTAAGTTTCTGAACTTATAATGCTTATCTCCAGGGTTCGATTTTCCGTAGTGGACATAACGCAAAGATCCCATTGTGTAACTTTGCGCAAAACAACAACAACAACAAAAACAATTGATATGGGTTTAAAGAAATAACTTTCGGTATCATCTTCAAGCCTTTGTTCAATTGGGGAATTTGTTTGTTCGACAAAGATTAGCTACACTTACCTTTACTAACATATTCTCACCGGCTCAATCTTTTCTTAAAAAACTCAAAATTACAGTTTTTGGAATACAGGCAAACGCTTGATTCTTGCTTTTGTGACTGAGTACTCAGATCACTAAGCTTGTTGAATAAGTTTTTCGAGTTTTTATAATACCTCCTAACCCAGATTCCTACTTTAAATTATCTTACACGTTCACTGTTAATAGGTTAACCCCAATTACCTACTGAAAATTGAATGAAGCAGAAAGTCTACTCGAAATACTTCCCATTTTTGGCTGAACTTATTGATTGCTGTAAGAGGGTGTTTGAAGAATGCGTTTCAGACAAAAAAAGTAACACCCTTAAAGTACAAAATATTATATACTATTTAACAGAACATTCACTCCCATTACAAAACCTAAGGGTATCAAAGCAGCAATTTTATGCTCTGTAAACACACTAATAACATCACTCATTTTTTATCTTAAATGCATACATTTAAAAAAAAATTAAAATGACATAATTCAACAATAGTTATGTCCTAAAGTCACAATGAAAACTTCCTGGTAAGAAAAAAAAGATACTATCAACATAATCACAAAACCAAACATTCAAGCGTCCAAATATTTGTCCCTAAAAATCTCTAAAAAAAAGAAGGTTTTTATGTTCAAAAGGGGAAATCTGATACTTTATGTTAAAAAAATATTACATCCAAATATTTGACGAAACTACTCGATAAATATATCTTTATTTAACAAACGTTATTATATATATATATATATACCTGTATCATCTTGGTGGGATAATAAAATAAGAAAACCTGATAAATTTAACTTAAAAACAAATTATTTGCGAAACCTATTAATAAAAGAAAATGCTACTTTAGTTTTATTTATTTGGAATTGAGCACAAAGATATATAATGACCCATCTGTGCTCTGCCAACCACGGGTATCGAAAGCCGGTTTGTAGCGTTGTAAGTCCGCAGACATACCACTTCGTCACTGGTTGAAGTAAATGAACATAACTTGATAGACACAGTCTATCACTATACTTCTTGTATAGAAGTAGGACAGATCCTGTGTCTATCAAGTTATGTTAATGTGTTTTTAAAGTCATTTATGTATTCAAGTGATAGACTGTGGCTATCAAGTTATGTTAATATGTTTTAAAGTAATTTATGTATTCTAGTGATAGACTGTGGCTATCAAGTTATGTTAATATGTTTTTAAAGTCATTTATGTATTCTAGTGATAGACTGTGGCTATCAAGTTATGTTAATGAGTTTTTAAAGTCATTTATGTATTCTAGTGATAGAATGTGGCTATCAAGTTATGTTAATGTGTTTTTAAAGTCATTTATGTATTCTAGTGATAGACAATGGCTATCAAGTTATGTTAATGTGTTTTTAAAGTCATTTATGTATTCTAGTGATAGACTGTGGCTATCAAGTTATGTTAATGTGTTTTTAAAGTCATTTATGTATTCTAGTGATAGACTGTGTCTATCAAGTTATGTTAATGTGTTTTTAAAGTCATTTATGTATTCTAGTGATAGAATGTGTCTATCAAGTTATGTTAATATGTTTTTAAAGTAATTTATGTATTCTAGTGATAGACTGTGGCTATCAAGTTATGTTAATGTGTTTTTAAAGTCATTTATGTATTCTAGTGATAGAATGTGTCTATCAAGTTATGTTAATGTGTTTTTAAAGTCATTTATGTATTATAGTGATAGACTGTGGCTATCAAGTTATGTTAATGTGTTTTTAAAGTCATTTATGTATTCTAGTGATAGACTGTGGCTATCCAGTTATGTTAATGTTGTTTTAAAGTCATTTATGTATTCAAAACTCTCTAACATGCAACTTAACCAAAGTAGCTTTACTCTTGGTGGTTCATCGGTAATCTTGAGGGTTAATGACGCTAATATATGGGGTCCGATCCCGGTGGTGTAAGAAGTGCAGATTGCTCATTATACCGCTTGATGCTTGGTTATTTTGCTGTTAAACACAAAGTTACATAATGGGCTATCTGCACTGCGCCCACCACGTATATCGAAACCTAATGTTAACACTGTTAGCTTTCAGACTTACCGCTGAGCCACTGGGGTGCAGTTTTATGCTCAAGCATCTTATAATTTTAAAGCTTTATTTGTTATTTGTTTAAGCGGTAGCACCTCTACACCTTGTTTGTCTGCATGTTTATTTGAGAAAATATTTGTTTGTTTCTTTGAAGTTAATCACAAAGCTACACAATGGGGGCCAGAGTAAAGAAAATACTACTTTCACCTTTAAGTGACCTGTACGTTACATACTTTACGGGTTATAAGGTCAAAAAGTCAAGGTCACCACAAGGTCTTGACCTAGACATGATGTGCCAAGCAGTGCGTTATACATTGTTGCTGCTCATGAATGGCCACTGATGTACGGAATAACGAATTCAAAGTAATGTTCAGTTGCTAATGCATAAATCTGTTATGTTTTAATCAATTGGTGAAGCTTGCCTCTTTGAAAGACGTGATCGATTTCAACAATGGAAGGTTTCCTGGACCACTTAAAGGTTAAGGTTTTTTTTTAAACACGCTGTCTCGTCTTTGAATATTTGTTTAAAATCTTCCCAAAATTCTCAAGTATAAAGTTTTTAATGAAAATCTACACCCCATTGCTTATATTTATTTCTTACTTATCTGTAATGATGATAATTATTTTCACACCTCAGCTATCTTTTTTTTTTATTTCTAAAAAAAGTTTTTGTGATTAATTAAAAATAATAAAGAAATTGACTAGAAAATGTGAATATGGATGCTTACATTAATAAACCATAACAATTTGACGATACGTTAATTAATATCCAGTGTTGTTTTTTTTCTGATGTTAAGCGCAAAGCAGCACATTGGCCCGTCTATGCTGTGCCCACTACAAGGATCAAAACCCCCAACTTAAGCGATTTCAGCCCTTGAACTTGCCGCTGAGCCACCGAAGGTTTGTTTTTAAAAGTTCGCGTAAATTACACGAGACCTATCTGCGCTAGCCGTCTCCAATTTAGCAGTGAAAGACTAGAGGGAAGGCAGCTAATCATCACCACTCATTGCCAACTCTTGGGCTACTCTTTTACCAACGAATAGTTGGATTGACCGTCACATTTTTATAGACTCCACGGCTGTTTGGTGGGATGGGAATTCGAACCTTAACCAACGGACTGATATCTAACGATTACTCTTAATTTCTTTACAAATGTAGAGGTGGAGGTATAGTAGGACCAGCGAGTCATGTGTTGATGACACATTTCTCGGAAGTTAACTTTTAAATGCAAGCTGGAGACTAGAAATCATTACTGTTAAAAAACATAACATTAAAATTAGCAAAAAAAAAAAACTTTGATAAACTTTTTTCTGTATCTGTGGTCTTAATTTTTAATAATATGTCACATTTACCTTGACAAAAGCTCTTTAAAAATATGAAATCTCCACATTTACTATTTAGTGCAGATCGTATTGTGTATGTGTAACACTAATAATATTTATGACAAAAAAGTACATTATAACAGGTGTGAAAAACAGTGTTAGAAAAAAGAGAGTTAAGATGTCTCCTTTGATAAAACAGAATCCCCCTGTGTATCATTAGTTATGCTGAATAAATGTAATATGATTCACGTGACCCCGTACATAAATAAACTGGCTGACGAGCGTGAATACGAATGATCAAAGCACGGCTTCAATTTGTTTTCTTTAAACAACCGTGATCTAAAGTATAGACTTTGAATTTCTTATGCCTACTATGTAGATATTTTAGGCCATTTTGATTTCAAACAAAAAGAAATTATAGACATCCGAATATGCAGTAAAAGAAACACAGTTCAAGATCACAGATTTTTGTATAACATGCGATTGCTCAACGATGAGTGGCTTAGGATAATACCTCCTTCTTCCCGCGAGGCCATCTTAACACATACCATTGTTTTTGGGTTTTTGTATTTTTTTGCTAAGTGAGATGGTGGTTCTTTTGCCTCGGTTTTTGAGAGGGCGTTTTATCCAACCTTATAGATATAACGATCCTTACCGCAAGGAGTGCATTCTTCAATATTTAAAAATGTGTATATTTTCATTCTTTGTTTAAATAAGAAAATAACATGTGTAATAAAATAGGGATACTTTTAAGTACCTTTGCTTTTTCATACATTCACTGAAAGTTAAGGCGGCCGTCTTACCCCACCTTCCCCTACGTGTACGTTTATTTTCCTGAAAGGAGGCCGAAAGCCGCCTGTAGGAATAACCTATTTTAATCACTTGCATCACTATACGGTAGTGTGTTATCTACCAGTCATTCAACAAACACTAAAATGACGCCCCCCCCCCCAGTGGCACAACGGAATGTCTGCGGACTTACAACGCTAGAATCCGGGTTTCGATACATGTGGTGGGCAAAGCACAGATAGCCCATTGTGTAGCTTTCTGCTTAATTACAAACAAACTAAAATGACGTCACATAAGAGACGCTTAACGTTGCAATTTGTATTGACGGGACGTCAGTAAAATATGCGCATGCCATGAATCACGAGAAGAATTATGTACTCTGTAGGCTACAACACAGAATGGCACATGAACTTCAAAAGCAAGAAATAGAAATATTTTTCACTCTTAATTTGGTTTTAACTCTTCAAACATTTTCGGGGACCCTGCGAAAGCAGATCCAGCAATATATGGTACATAATAATATCTAATGTTTACAAAATGTGTTCTAATATACTTAGAATTCATAAGGTGTTCTTCTGCATTTCTTTCTCTCTATCTTTCTAAAATCCATTATAAACTGAGAGCTATTCCCAAGGTTCATGGTATATTGTGATGCGTAATAAAGACTGTAATATTAGTCCTACTTGAGTAACTCCAAAGTCCATCCTATTGTTACGAACAGCAGAGGTCACGTGACGCTTGTATCACGCCACTTCCTTCTCGAACCTTCATGAAATGTCGGAAGACTACTAGATTGGGGTAGTCTTGTATATATAAGACCGGCCAAGAAACAACGTAAGGGAATGAGTAATAGAACTGCGGACAGAGAGAGAATATTGTTGGGCACGTGGGACATTCGTTGTGAGTTATAGCGTTTGTTTTAGCGCGACTGTTGAAATTAAGTGTATCGCAAAGTTGTATTCAGAAAGAATAAACCGGTTTTATTTAAGAAAGGACTTGTATCGGTAAAGTTTCTTCAGTAAGAATTTTCACGGAAAATTAACTAACGAACGGAGACGTAACACTATGTATTCTGCTCTAAAAATCACTTGATGATGTAGAACGCCACTGAAACATGTAGAGTCGTTTTTAGGCTTTGGTGTGTTTTTAATAAATATCTTACTCATTGGGCAACTATTTGACATTGTATATATATTCTTAATAGTTTACCTATCCACAAGTGTATTTTAACTTATATATCACCATATATTTGTTAACTCACCAGTACGGCTCAAAACTATTATAACCCAAAATCATAAATAATTTTCAACGTAACTAGTAGTACAACTAAACTAAACTTAATTTAAGTTACGTTACTTACTTACTTACGTACGTACGTACGTAACGTACGTTAACGTTTAACTTAGTTACG